CTTAACTCTTTAATTAATTTTGTTTTTTTGAGACAGTCTCTCACTGTATAATTCAGGCTGGGCTTGAACTCACTATGTAGCCCAGGCCGGCCTCGAACTATCGGGGATCCTCCTGCCTCAGCCTCCCAAGTGCTGGGATTACAGGCCTGGTTTAAATTCTTTTATTTGTAAGATAGAAAATATTTTCAAAACAAATCAATATACAGGAAATAAGGGTTAGTTCTGAAATAGAAATGGAAATGTTTGCTCTGGAAAAAAAAAAAAAAAAAACCTTTCCTAAACTATTTGCAACCAGACCCTGACAGAAACAAACACACACAAAGTCCGTTTACCCCGGAAAGGACGAGATAATATCAGACTAGGGCGGGGCCAGGAGTCACAGGCAGGCCACTACACTGGGGACAATTTCTTCCCGGGATTCTCTTGAGCTCTGCCTTCAAAGCCTTTAGGTCTTTGGCTTGGGGACCCAATCTGGAGATTTAGGGGAAAGGGAGAGGAGGCAACGAAGCTGGCATCGGCGACAACTGTGGGCCCGAGATGCCACTCGCTGGTCCCAGGTCTTGCCCCTCCCCCCGAGTGCTGGAGTCCGAGCTAGGCCCCCTCCTTCCTCCTCCATCCAGCCTAACCGGAGGTCTCTGCCAGGGGACACGCCTTTCACAGGCGGTCACCGGTCTGCACGCCGCGGCTCCGGGAGAGATCGAAGCCCCAGGACCGTTAGCACCTTCCCTTTGTGGATGGCCATGGTCCTCCGACCCTTGAATGGACTTAGGATCCTTCCATCAGGAACCAGGTGTCCCGGCGCCACGCGGAGATCCCTCCACGGCGATCTGCCCCCACTCTCACTCACCCTGGCGGCGGCTGGCGAGGCGGCACCTTCCCTCCACCGCACATCTGTGCTGCATGTCACTGTCCCTCCCCCCACCGCACCCCTCGCCCAGTCCTGAGGCGGCCTCTGTTCCCGGAAGATCGGTCTCCTCCCTTCTCATTGTGACGCTGACCTCTCTCGGTCCCAGGAGCCTCTCCCCCGCTCTCATCCTTCCCCAACCCCAACACAGCCTCCCGCATTTTCACTCTCCCACCCCGAGTTTGAGGAAGAGCGCCCCCTCCCGGCTTCCCTCAGTCAGCTTTGCCCGGCCTGGCCTCCTTCCCCCAGGTGGCCACTGATGCTCCATCTAGAGAGGTGGCCCCAGCAGCAGCTCACCTCCCCCGATGCCGCTCTTTCGGGCCCTTCCACGTCCAGTATGCTCCTCTTTGCTCTCTCGTCTTTGCGGAAGGAAGTACTACTTACTGGGAGCCCTCATTCTCTTCCACTGCTCCTCAGTGTTCCCAGGATAGATGTGAGCTGCTGAGAACCCCTCTCTAAGATTGGAGGCCCTTCGAGGCTGAAACTGTATGCTCTGCCCGACACTGGAACAAACGGGTTGCTAGGCCCCAGCCCCTCCCTCCAGCACCATCAGATAAGGCTGTGTAGTGAGTGGGGGTGGACAGGCAAAGCTATCCACCCAGTGGCCCAGGTCACACAGGCCAGTGGGACAACTTTCTTGGCCCACACCGAAAAGGCTTAGAACTCCTTCATTCCAGCCTGTCCATTCCAGCGTGTCTGTTTTCCCCAGCAGGCAGGCATGTTTAAGCCTTTTAGCTCTAAATGTAAGACTTTGTCTACATTAAAAAGAATTTCAGGAATTACATTGATAACACTTTTCTTCTCTGCCAAGTCTCTCTGTTCTTTTTATCTCTATATCCAGCTCCCATTTGCTTGCCCCTAGTTGTCCATGCCATTTGGTTCCTTTTGTTTTCATGTGTTCTTGCAAAAAATTTTTTTAAAAATCTTGCTGTCTTGGTATGTATTTTAAATTTGTGCAAAGGGAATTATATTATTTCTCATTTTGTTTCTGTTCACTCCGTGCTGAAATTTTTAAGATCCATGTAGCTTCTGTCCTTTTAACTGATGCCTCCTCTCCATGGTTTTTCTTTGCCACGTTTCACCCTTCTCATCTCCCTGCTCTCACTGGGAATATCCACAAACATGAACCCTTTGCAATACTTCTCAAGCACTAGTGTGCACACATATCATCCAGGGAATCTTGATAAAGTACAGGCTCTGACGAAGCGGGTCTGGGGTGGAGCCTTGACTCTCATTTCTTCTCCTCCTCTTCCTCTTCTACCTCCTTCTCCTCTTTCTCTTCCTCCTCCTTCATCTCTTCCTCTTTCTCTTTTTCCTTCTCCATCTCTTCCTCTTCTCCTCCTCTTCCTCCCCCTCTTCTTCCTCCCCTTCCTCTTTCTCCTTCTCCTTTTCCTTTTTTTTTTTTTTTTTTTGGTACTGGGGATTGAACTGAGAACCTTGTGCTTGCAAGGCAGGTGCAGCGTCACCTAGCCTCTTCTTTTTTTTTTTTTTTGAGACCGGTGTTATGTAGCTCAGGGTGATCTCAGATTTGCACTCCTCTTAGCTTTAGCCTTTCAAGTGCTGGGAACACAGGCCTGTGCCACCACACCTGGCTGAGACTACCTTTCTAAACAGGTCCCTCGGGATGTCTATACTGCTGGTCTGTGACCACATTTTGAGGAGGAAGGCCAACACAGACCTCTGCTTTCTAGTCTGGCTGTACCACCTTCCCTACACAGGAGCAGCAGGAATGTGCAGGGTAGATATTTACACGTGGGAAGGAGGACTTCTTCTTGGTCCTGCCCATATCCTGTCCCCTGGTGTGTATGCTCTGGGCCCAAACTTCCTGTCTCCCTTGCTTGGAATGACTCCAAGTCTCCTGAGTGATGATACTGGCTAACCATGCATGGTCAAGTCAGTGAAGAATCCAGGCCAGGTATCCTGGTCTCCATCCACCACATAAGCCTCAGTGCATAAGACATCTAGACTGGTTTGACTCCTGACCTGCCTAGGCCTGGGTCTCATCTCTGACAGGAGATTAGCTTTGAGAATAAGGAAAGATACTGTCTTCATTTAGGTTGTTATCTTTCCTCCAGCCCCCATGGCCTTTCCCTTTAGTAGCCTGTTAGGGGAGTGTGATTCAGATAGCCTGGCCTTGCCACTGACAAGTGGCTATACTAAGTTTGACTTCTCATCTCTAAAATGGGGTAGTGACGGTATAATATAGTTTGTAGAGCTAGTCCAGGAGTCAGTCCAGGCACTTCATCTGGATGTCACGAGCCCCATGGGAACCAAAGATAGGTGTCCTTGTTTTTGTTTTACTCATGAGGAAAATAGGGTTCAGAGGTTTAGAATTTTCCACCAAGACCAGGGAACTAGAAAGTGACAGTTCTGGGGTTCAGACTCAGCCCCAGCAAGTATATCATACTAACCCTAAAAGCTATGCCACCTCTATGTCCTATCTTGCCTTCACTATCAGGACATATTGCAGGGAGAACTACAAAGAATCAAGAAGGGAGAACTGGTCCTTGGGTGTCAGGCACCAAAGCTGAAGGCATCCAACCAGGGACATGCAGGGTTTTAAAACTATAGCAGATGGGTTTGGGCAAAAACTATGGTTCTAGGAGAGTTGGGTTCTAGGGCCTGAATATTTAGGTGGAAGGAGGAAGGGCCTTGGGTCTAGAGGTTCAAAAGCAAAAATTTTAGGGTTAGATACAAATTGGGGGGTCAGAACCAGGCAGGAGTTGGGGAGAGTCAGGGATTGGGTGGGGACAGGAATGGATGGGGGACAAGTGGGAAGGCCCAGTGTGGGTAAATTGTCTACCACACATTTTACTTGGTAATAACTGATCACATAATGTTTTGTTTGGAGGGGCCATCATATGTGCAAATTACCAGAATATGGAGTATCAAGGGATGTCACCTTCCAAAGCCCTTCTGGGCTACAAGCAGCTTGTTGGAGTGGTTTTGAAATCCCTGAGCTATGCTTTTTCCACTCAGCACAGCTGTACAAGCATCTCCTGGCACCAAGCCTCAGCCTCAGTGATTTCACAATCAGAAGAGTTCAGCATGTACACATTTTGAGATTTCATGATGCAAGACCTTTTACATGTTGTCCACAGCATCCATCCTCTGTTTACTGTTGTAGGGCCAACATTCTGTTTCTGGAAGCCTAGGGAAGCTTCCTGCTCTTTTATTGGCTTTCTGGGTCAAAAGACCTTTGAGCTTAGAGAATATTCTTAGAGTTCAAAATGACATCTTAACAGTCCTTTTGGCGTTTACAAAGTACTTTGCAAATAGGTATTGCCTTTGAATCCCAGTAATCTTGTGACAATGTAGGGACCCACTTAACACTGTGACTTAAAAGAATGAATTATTGGCCAAGCCCATACATTGTATAGGTGGCTGAAATGGGGCTTATAAGTTTTTCCATAAAAGACATGGGGACTGAGTAGTTGGGGGCTGAGGGTGTAGCTTAATGGTGGAGTATACTGTGCATGGGCAAGGCTCTGGGCATCCCCCACAAAAGAGTGAAACTCACTACCTTAGTTGTTCTGTTTCCCAGACCTGGGGTTGTGGACTGAGGCAGGAGGTAGGACATATAGAGAGGAAAGATGTCCAAGTAGAAAGTTCAGGATGTAAGTGAGGTATGGTTTCCAGGGCTTTTGACCAGTGGTCCACTGGCTATGTTTCTGTCACTGGGACCCTTTCTAGAGCCTGTGGTCCTCCTGGGAGTGGAAAGGGGATTGATGGGAGGAGGGGCAATTCCAGGAGTACTGGGGAGTCTGAAGCTGAGACAGCTGGATGGCTATCACAAAAAGATGCTGCCAGCTGCTAAGGGAGCCCCAGTGGGTGTCCCCACATCCATATAGGTGCTCTCAGTGACTTGGCCAACCTCTGCCCCTGCCTAAGCCATCTGTCCTGTCCCCTCAAGCCGCTGGCTCCTCACACCAGGTACCTGCAGCATCAGCTTGAGAAAGGTTCCCAAGACAAGGCCAGACCACTCTATCTGCTGGCTCCAGCAATCACACAGGCCTCATCTTGGGATGGGGTCCCACTCCCCCCGCTTTCCCTGGGGCTCAGGCTCTGGTCCAGGGTATAACAGACACAGGCAGCGGACTGGGGTTGCTTCTATTCGTTCAAGTCCTGAGCATAGCCTGGGTGATTCATGGAGGTGAGGAGGCCCACAAGGCTCAGCAACGTGGAGAAGAGCAGCAGGAAGGAGGCAGTAAACAGCAGGGTGGGTAGGGCGCTGAGCACCAAGAGCAGGACAGCTGGCAGCAGATGACGCCACACCACGACCGCCACAGGCCACAGGGAGCTCAGCAGGTGGGAGCCGGTGGTGAAGAGTACGTGGCACAGCGTCAGGGCCAGCAGCAGGTAGAGAATCCCCTCCAGGTTCCAAAGCACCCGCTGCAGTGGCTGCCTCCAGCTAGTTGTGGCCCACCACTGGGCCCAGCTCTGGGGCACATGTCGAGCACACCAGCGCATCCAGTCCTGCTGGGTGAGCCAGGCTGACCAGGGCACTGCCCGCTGTGGCCCCTCACCAGCCCCACTGTCATCCGACTCCATTCGAGGCTGCTGCATCATGGCTCGTGCACCTGTGGATAGGGTCAGGCCAGCTACAGGAGCAGCTCTGGAAATGCCTGGGACCTCAGGCCAAGTGAAGGTATGGGGTCTGAAGGGCACCAGCCTGGGCAGGGTGGGGCTTTGAGCTGGGGTCCAGGACTTACCTCTGTGGAAAGCTGCCTAAGTCATGTTGTTTCCTGCTATGTCCGGGACTGCCTGGAAGCTAGATCTGAGCTGCCACTCTCACTCACCCCTGTCCTCCCCAGAGGAGTCCCATTGTGACCCAAGCTGGGGTGGGGTCCAGTGAAGAGAGAAGCTATGACTCCTCTGAGGCTCCTGAGTCCCTCTCAATAGACCCTCTAGGCTGACAGGGGAGCCTGAGGAGCCCCACTGAGGAGCCCCACAGATGTTTCTCATGCTTTCTTGTGGGAAGTGTACCTCCCCCATTCCTATCTGCTCTTTGATACTGATGCCAGCCCCAGCCTATTCTTACAAATCTTTCTCTCTGAACCCTTATTTTCTGGAACCAGAATGGCTGCCTGCAACGTGCAGCCACTGGGATGGCTGCTATGCCCTGCCTTGGGCTCTCTACCTAATATCCTGCTTTCTTTTGCTGCCCCAAGCCTCAGACCCAGGTTTTCACTGCCTGTATTATGGAGCCTGAGGTTCAGGCTTGCTCCACCCAGGATGGAGGAAAAGAGGCCTGGGGAAGTAGAATGGCCAGTGTATTGGAGGGGAGGGCGGGATTCAATGTTTTGGGAAGGCTCTCAGGCCCAAGGATGCAGGCAGAAAACCAGGCCCAGCAGGGCCAGGATTATGCCATGGGCTCCCAAGAGCAGCCCCAGGCCGAAGAGCAGCAGGAGCAGTGCATCCTGGAGGCTGGGCTGTCCTGGGATGACCCCTGTTGGGAAGAGGGGAGCTGCCTGCTGTCCTGGACCCTTGCCGGCGCCCTGATTCTGGCCCCTTGTGAGCAGTCTGTGTTGCAGCAGGGTGGGACTTGCAGGCCTGTGGAGGGGGTGGTGGTGGCAGCTAGGCTTGTGGAAAGTGGCCACAGGCCTGTTTCCTTACATTGCCCACCTGCCAGGTTGCTGTCCACTTACCTGTGGAGCAAGTCAAAGGCGAGGAAGCTGACCAGCAACAGTAGTAGCAGCAGAACTGCTCCAGACATGGTAAAGACTGCTCCAGTTGTCAGCCCTGGTGCCCCCAGTCCTAGAATGCTATCCAGGAGCTGAGCCTGGCTAGGGTCCCAGGGGGATACTCATGGGTGTACTAACCTACCCAATCCCTCCCTAGCACCCAGGTCCCTGGCAGGGAGTGGGATTGGACCTGCAAGGGCTTTGGGCCTGAGTAAGCAGAGGCAGGTCATAGAGGGATGTGGAGGTGATGGGAAGTCACTGTCATTGTAGAAGTGGGATGGGGTAGGGAAGATGGGGCCCTGGCAGACACTGGATGGTGACCTCAGAGGGTGGAGAATTGGGATATTTGGGAATCTCTCTCTCCCCACATGCCCACCCCATCAAGCCCTTCTCACTTCCTCCTCCTTTGGTCAGCCATTCTGGGACTAGACATGTGGGGCATTGTGACCTCTTGCCAGGTAGGGCTCTGGAGTAAGTAGGAGGCTACAGCTGGTCTGGCTATATAGGTATTGGTGGTCTATGTAGAGCCTAGCCAGCAAGTAGTAATATCTGAGAACAAAAAGCTTTTGCTAATTCTCTGTCCTAGGGCTCTCTCATGGGACTCTGGATTGTGAGTAAGGCATTTTAAAGCCATCACTACTTAGGCTGCTGTCCAAGGGAACAGCAACTGCTTTCTTCTTCCTGTGGCTTCCCAGAGCCATGTGTCCATGAGTCATTCAACCCTTTTGTGCCCATTGTTCTTCTCTGAAAGTGGGGTGATGCTTGTGGACTCTTGGAGGAGGTGGTTTCAGACTGCAGCCCTGGAATGCAGAGGTGGGCTCTGCCAAGGTACAACCTAAGGCTTTCTGGAGATAGGCTCTCACATGACCTGCCAAATGGGGATGAGGCAAGAGGGAGCTGTTGAGGTATTCCAAGTATCAGAGTTTGTGGGACATGTTCTGGATGCTGGGGTTTCAGAAATAGTATAAATGCTGTAAACCTAAGAGGGCTACAACATAGCAGAGAGGTTAAGATTACTGAGAATGAAATGAATGAAAATGAATAAGTGATGAAGGGATTGGTCACTTGGAAAAGAACCTGTCTCCACTGATAATCTTTAAGTAGGTGGCAGCTACAGATATTCCAGCACATCTTGGTGTAGTGACTTGAGAAGCAAGAGTAGAAATCTTTGTCCCCATATCATACTTAGAAGGAAAACTGAGTGAGGTGAGGAAAGGAGAGACAGTGGTCACAAATTCCCTACAAGAAGAGAGTATAGAATAAAAATCAGGACACCTCCAGCAGGCTGTGCTCAAAGACTCAGGCCTTGTGGCCTTGACATCTTTGGTGTTGATGGGCTTGACAAATCATAGAGCCACGGCCACCTGCCCTTGGAACCATTCAGATTGCCCTTCTTCTGGCTCTTTTTGCTTATCTAGCAACTGGGCTTTTGGTATAGATTTGCCTAAAAGGGATAGGGTATAATAGAGGATCCTAGTTTGTGTTTTTCCCTCCTAAATTCTAATTTCTTTGAAAAGGAGCAAATTAGCATTAAGGTTTAATACTGCCTGTTGATGAAATCACCCACAAAATTGCATCCTCCACATATAGAACTGAGGGTCAGGTCCTGATGATTTCACCAAGATGAGGTGAGTCCATATTGTAAGAGATTGCACAATTGCGGGGGGGGGGGTGACTAATGCTCCTTAAGAATTTACTGTGTGCTGGGTTTATTTGTGAATTCCTCAGAATTTATTTTTCATTCAATGATAATTAAGTACTTCCTATGTGCCAGGCCCCGTGCCTGAAAGCTGGATCATAATTCCTAAAAACAGAACATGAGAGGATTCTTGTGCACATATTTAATGAGATAGCACTCTCGGGAGAAAAAATTTTAAGTGAGAGAAGGTAAACAGGACAGGTAAGCAGGATAGAGAAAAGAACTAAGCTAGTGTCAGGTAAGGAGGACACCAGATCCTGTATAGTGGATGCAAGACCCAGAGACACTGAGACAGGTTTATTGGAGTGACAGCATGTAGGGGGTCTGAAGTAGAGACTTCAGCCCACCCTGGAGAGGTAAGGAGGCAGTATTTAAGCCTTGAGTGAGGGGCAGAGCTTCAGCCAGGTATTGAGGAAGTTGGAAGGCTCTGGTCAGTTTTTAGATTTTGATTTCCCCAGGGCAGGCCTGGGCAAGCCAGTGTTGGTGGGGATGGCAGCACAGGTGAAGCACCAGCCAAAGATTTTTGTTTTTCCTTTTGGAAAGGCCACCTTGGAGTGCTGGATTCAGAGGGGCCCCAGGAGGGAGGATGGGAATGGTCCTAGGCTCTGAAACCCCTGAATGAAAGGGTGAATAGAGACCTAAGGATGCGGACCCTGGTGGGGGTAGGGGAAGGGATGAAAAGATGGAGGGAGGAGGGCAGGGCCCAGGTAAGCCTCGGCCCCTCCAGCCCTAGCTCCAGCCTGCTGGGTATCTGTTCTGGCTTTTCTTCTCGGGTTATGTAAGTCTGGAACGTGGCAGCCAGGCGAGCAAAGGATTCAGAGGAGGGGAGGAAAGGAGAGAAGAGAGGCGGAGCTGGGGGTGGGTGTGGGGTGGTGATGGGAAGCGCCGCATCTGGTTGGGCCCCTTGGGTTGTCTTTCCCAAGGATTCCCCGAGGACCACCCCCCATCGCTCCCTCTCCTTCTCCTCAGTTTCCCCCTCCTCTCTTCCTTTTGTCTCATCCACCCTGGCAGGGAGGCTATTGCTCTGGATGGATTTCCTTCTCGGGTTGTACTTTCCTCTCGCAAAGTTCTCGGGTTTGCTGCCGTGGCCAAGTCAATTAGCTGCTCCGGGCCTCAGTTTACCAGATTATAAAATGAAGTTTGGTTTACAGACCATGTGTAAAGCTCCTGGCATGGTGTATGGTACCAAGTAGATGCCTGCTGTGGGACGGGCGCCTCACGGGACTCTGAAAAAGATGGCTTTGCAGGCTATGAAGGGCAGCGCGGGAGCGAGGCTGGTTACCCGGGGCGGCGGGAGCTTCCAAAGGGGCCCAGAGACCTCGGCAGCCCACGGGACAGCACTGCCCAGATCCCCTGGGGTCCTGCACAGCCCCTTGGGCATCCATCCGCTCCCTGGGGCTCCGAGGTCCAAGATCTAGAGCGGGCTGTGGGCGGGCCGGAGGCTGCAGAGGGGCGTGGGGCGGGCAGGAAGGGGCGGGGGGCTCTGAAGCGGCCTGCAGGAAGAGACGAACCCACCTCGCTCCCTGGTTCAGCGCGCCCAGTACTTGCGCCCGCCATGTGGGGTCCGCTGCTCACCTTGGCCGCCTTCGCGCCTGCCGTTGGTCTGGGTCTGGGGACGCCCAGCGCCTCAGTGCTGGACCTGGCGCGGCCCTCGACCACGGAACCCCTGGGCTCGACCCTGGCCCCGAGTAGCAGCCCTGCACTGCCGCCAGCGAAGGCGAACGGTGAGCTCCGGCCCCACTCTGCGGGCGCCCCCTCCCCAACACACACACACACACACACACACACACACACACACACACACACACACTCCTGCCCCGTGCAACAGTTGCTGACTCAGCAACCCCATCTGGCCAAACCCAGTCAGCAGTCCCTGGACAGGTGCCAGAGGGATGCTGGCTCCTCCAGCCCCAAACCTTCCCTTTTCAAAGATGAAGAAACTGAGGCCAGAGCCTGCAGGAGGGGAGAAAGCAGTGCAAAGACACCCAGAGGAAGGGATGCAGGGCAAGCCTGTGTAGAGAGTTTAAGAGCAAGGGCTGGAGAGAAAGAACAAAAGGGAGGGAGAGGCTCTTTGCTGAGGGTGCCACTAGGAGAGGAAATGGTTCCTGGAAAGGGAGAGGCAGGCTGTCTGACCTCTCTCTTCTCACATGTGGGAAGCTAGAGGAGAAAGACAAGGGGATGGCAGTCAGGAATTCTAGGTAGGTGAGTGGACCTGGGTCCTGAAGGACAAGCTGAGTCAGGACAAGGTGAAGAAAAAGGGCAGCCAGGAAGGGAACAGTATGTGCAAAGGCACAGAGTCACCAGACACCAAAATGCACCATGTTCTGGAGGCAGCGGTAGAGTGTGGGTCTGAAGGGATCTGGCTACACTGGCCTGTGCAAGGCTCTTGGTGGGAGAGCGAGTGGGTGGCAGTCCAGGAAGCTTCAGTGGCCAGGCCAAACATGGAGTTGAGGACAGGAGATCTCAGCCCACAGGGTAGGTGCAACCAATGGAGGGAGCACAGGGATTCTGGGGCATGAGATTTAGTCTGGAGCTCAGCAAGGCTGAGGTGGTACAATCAGGTAGTGAACGGTATTATAGGAGAGGGAACCAACTCAGCTCTTGGGAATGACCAGTTTCTAGAGGCTGGATATAGCTCTTCATTGGGTCCAAGGGTCAGAGGCGTGGCTGGTGGCCATCTATGTGAGGTGCAAAGGAAGTGGCAGGAGAGGCAGGTTGCGATCAGACTGGAGGCCTTTTGATGCCAAAAGCTAAGGTCATTTGATACTTGCATGCCTCCCTGGCCTGGCAGACCTTTCCATTTGGGGTTTCGTGCCATGTTTCCCTCTTTTGGTGCTGCCCCTCGGTGAACCCTAGGAACCTTGAAACAGCACACCCGGATTCGAATCATCAGGAAGAAAAAGGTCATTCTGAAGAAGCGAAAGAAACTAACTAGTCCCAGTTTCCCAGTGACTGCCAAGCCTTTGGTGACCACCAGCTCAGCAGGGACTCTCAACCTCTTTGAGAAACAGGAACCAGGTATTGCCCCTGCAGGGGCCCTGCCTGGGCTTGCAGCTCCTGGGGCACATACAAATCAATGTAGTCCTTGCCCTCCTGGACATAGGCATGTCCCCTGCCTGCTTAGCACACAAGCAGGCTCCAGCTCGGCTTCTTACCTGCTCTGACTACCCTCTCTCTGATCCTGTCTGACTGCTTGGTCCCTACCCCAGGCTGTCCCCCTTTGGGCCTGGAGTCCCTCCGAGTTTCAGATAGCCAGCTTGAGGCATCCAGCAGCCAGTCTTTTGGTCTTGGACCACACCGAGGACGGCTCAACATCCAGGTAGTCAACTCCAGCTCTCAGGGGTAGGCAAAGGAGCCCCTGGGACCTTCTCCCCTGCCCCCTGTCCTAGCCACCCCTCTCTACCTACCTGGGCCTGATCACCATGCCCTGTGCCCACAGTCAGGCCTGGAGGATGGTGATCTGTATGATGGGGCCTGGTGTGCCGAGCAGCAGGACACTGAGCCATGGCTTCAGGTGGACACTAGGAAACCCACCCGCTTCTCAGGCATT